AGGGAGCCTACAAAATGTCCACCTTCTTCCTTAACCGAGGATTCCCCAGCTCCGTTGTCGACAGGGCCCTCAACCAGGTCGGACCCATCTCCTGCACTTCCGCCCTCACCCCTTCTCTTCCCTCCCGCAACAGCAATAGGGTTCCCCTTATCCTCACATACCATCCCACCAGCATCCACATCCAGAAGATCATCAGATGCCATTTCTGCCACCTCCAGCAAGATGTCACCACCAGACACATATTCCCGTCCCCTCCCTTGTCTGCCTTCCGCAGGGACCGTTCCCTCCGGGACACTCTGGTCCACACTTCCTTCACCCCCAACACCTCCCCACAGCCCTACGGCACCTTCCCCTGTAACCGGCGAAGGTGCAACACCTGCCCATTTACCTCCTCTCTCCCCAGTATCCAAGGGCCCAAACATACCTTCCAGATGAAGCAACACTTCACCTGCACTTCCTAGAATCTAGTCGACTGCATTCACTGTTTACGATGTGATCTCCTCTACATTGGGGAAACGAAGCGTAGACTTGGCGACCACTTCGCAGAACATCTACGTTCTGCTCACAAAAAAGACCCTGAACTACCTGTTGCCTGCCGCTTTAATGCACCACCCTGCTCCTTGGCCAACATCTCTATCTCTGACTTGCTGCAGTGTTCCAGTGAAGCCCAATGCAAGCTGGAGGAACGACACCTCATTTTCCGCTTGGGGGCCATACAGCCCTCCGGACTCAATACTGAGTTCAATAATTTTAGGGCCTAAACTCTCCCAATTCCCAGCCCCCCAACCCACACACCAGACCTTGTCACCACATAGCCTGCCATTACACACCCCCTGTTGTTAGTCACTAACAGTCCCCATTAACAATTATTCACCCTCCCAGCCTGATCGTTGGCAACTCCTTTGTCCAAGTGTCTTTCTCTCTCTTTGGGCTCTATCCTATTGTTTACTCCCTACCCCACCCACCTCCCTATTTTCTGCATATAAGCTGATGTTTATGCTACCATCAGTTCTGAGGAAGGGTCACCGGACCAGAAACGTTAACTCTGTTTTCTCCTTCACAGATGCTGCCAGACCTGCTGAGCTTTTCCAGCAACTTTGTTTGTGTATTAATTTTAATTATTGCCTCTAGAAACTTTAGCACAATGAAGTTAAACTTGCTGGCCTGTAGTTGCTAGGTTTATCTTTACGTTTCGAAAAAGGTGTAGCATTTGCAATTCTTCAGTCCTCTGGCTCTAACCTAGAATCTAAGACTGGAAAATATTGGACAATACCTTTATGCTTTCTGTACTTGCTTTTGTTGGTTTTTTTAGATGCACCTCATCCTGATCCCATAAACCTCACGTGGCCAATATCATATCAGTTTTAAACATTTCACCCATCTGAAATACTACTTCTTTCACCACAACCTAGACAGATTTTTTTTCATTTGTTTTCGGGATGTGGACATCACTGGCTCGGTCAGGCTCAGATTGATTGCTCATCTGGATTGTTTATCCAACCGCCTAGTTAAATTCTCCCTGCCACCAAACTCAGTGAGGGAGGGCACAACATTCCATCTAAAATATTTCTGAACGATGCATAATCGATCACTATTTTGCACTTATCTGCCTGGTTTCTGTATTAAAACTCAGTGATAATACTTCTGCTTACGAGTTTATGGGTTCAAAGCCCAATCTAGTAACCAAGTCACAAAATCTATGCAATGTTGGAGGTGCCATTTTCAGATGGGATATTAAACCAATGCCCTGACTGTCCTTGCACTAAGAATTGGAATTATTGCAGTGTTCTCAAAATATCTTTTCATTACCCTCACATAAAGAGATTATCACATCATTACCATATTATTGGAGGAGCTGTCAGTGTACAAATTGAATACTATGTTTCCCATATTCTATAGAATAAAATTGTTTGGCTATAACAGCACTTTGAGACATCAATGGTCATGGAAAGTGTTTTATGAATGTAAGTTGTTATTACTGTCATTGCTTTATTAGGTATTCTCTGGAATACCATGACATTATTATTTATGGGAAACAGAATTTGACACTTACACACCCCCTGTTTTTAGTCACTAACAGTCCCCATTCACAACTATTCACCCTCCCAGCCTGATTGTTAGCAACTCCTTTGTCTGTCCAACTGTCTTTCTCTCTCTTCGGGCTCTATCCTATTGTTTACTCCCTACCCCACCCACCTCCCTATTTTCTGCATATAAACTGACATTTTTCCAGCCACTATCAGTTCTGAGGAAAGGTCACCGGACCCGAAACGTTAACTCTGTTTTCTCCTTCACAGATGCTGCCAGACCTGCTGAGCTTTTCCAGCAACTTTACAGCATCCGCAGTTCTTTTGGTTTTTATTTAGAATTTGACACTTTCCTACTTACAGACCAAAATTGCTCTTTGTAAAATCCAGTTTTGTGCAGTACTAATGATTGCACAGTCTTCAACCACATTTGTAACTTCAGTCAGTGTAGCAGTCAGTGCAAGTACAGCAAGAATGGCCAGACCTAGGATGGTAAGTGGAAAGTAGTGTTCACACCACTCAAGGGCCGGGCCATGACCACCTCCAACAAGAGAGAATCTAAATGCGCCTACATGACACTGAGCAATGTTACCTTAAATGAATCCCCCACTATCAACTAGTCCAGCCATAAATTACTGTGGTCAGAAAAGCAAATCAAAAGCTGGAACCTCAGTAGCAGGCAACTCACCTGACTCTCCAAAAAGGGAACCTCAGCAGCAGGCAACTCACCTGACTCTCCAAAAAGCTTGCTCACCATCTACAAGGCACAAGTCAGCAATGTGATGGAATTATTCTCACTTGCCTAGACAACAATCCTCAAGCTTGATATCAACTAACATAAAGCAGCCTGATTACTTGGCACCCCATCCACTATCTTAAACATTCAGTCCCTCCACCAGTATTTTACAGTGGCAGCAAAACTTAGACTGCATTGCCTTCCAAAGGCATTATATCTATCGCTAGAAGAACAAAGGTAGCAGGTTCACTTCTTGTTATTCACTTCCAAATACTTGCACTTTGGCAGAAAGGAGAGGCTGAGAATAGACAAGGCAGGCTTCTATAGTGCACAAGAACAAAGATGAAGGGGTTCATGTGCACAGATTTTGAAGGTGACAGGACATATCGAGATTATTTTGCAAACCATCTTGGCCATCATAAAAACACTAAGTACAAAAGCAGGCAAATTTTGCTAAACCTATAAGACACTTTGTTCAGGCCACAACTAGAGTATTGCCATAGTTCTGATCATCACCCATTAGGAAGGATATGAGGATCATCGAGAATGTGCAGAAGACATTTACTATTGACCAGGAATTTTCGCTACAAGGTAATCTGGGAACATATGGGGTTGTTATTTGAGCAGGTAATTGCGGGAGATTTGATGGAACTTTACAAGATTATAAAAGGTTTGGATAAGGTAGACCAGCAGAATCCACCATTCGCTGGCGGTACAAGTACTAGAGGATACATTTGGGCAAAAGATGCAGAGAGAATGGATCCCTGTGCCATAAGTGACTGACTGAATCCGAAACAAAAACAGAAGTTGCTGGAACAACTCAGCAGAACTGGCAGCATCTGTGGAGAGAAATCAGAGTTAACGTTTCAGGTCCAGGAACCTTTCCTCAGAACGGGGTCACTGGACCCGAAACGTTAACTATGATTTTTCCCCACAGATCCTGCCAGATCTGCTAAGCGTTTCGTGAAATTTCTGTTTTTGTTTCTAATTTACAACAACCACAGTTCTTTCGGGTTTTATTTAGTATTTAACTCACTGTCACATCTCTTCTAGGCATCCTCACCTTGAAGAAGTAGAGGTAACAAGGTGTAGAGCTGGATGAACACAGCAGGCCAGGCAGCATCAGA